CTGCACTATTTCATTTTTGCCCTTTTTGTGGTATTTGTTATAATTTTATTTTTTTAGCAGCTTTTCCGTTATTTTCTTCTTAAAATTTAAGTTTCATGTAGCAACCATTTGCCATTAAACATTAATTTAAAATTATTAAAAACAAACTCAAGTATGTTTTATGTTAGCTCTCAACAGTTTGTGTCAACGCTAATTGAAGAAACTGAACGTTAGCTGCAAATGCTAACTTTGTGCTAACATTTCCCTTTGCTGACTTTTAAGTTGTTTTAAAATAATGAACCCAAAAGATTGCTCAGCTGTTACTTTTTGTGTGACACATAAAAGTTACAATTCCTTAAAGCAATTACAAGCTAACACTAGCAAGTGAACCTGCATTATTAGCGTCGGTATTAGCATTGCGCAGGACTCGCTATACTAGCTTAAACCAAATTAGCTCAACTTGCTCAAGTAGTTTGGTTTAACTGTCATTTTAGCTGTTTATTTATGTATATTTTATGTTTTAAAGAAATTATATTTTTGTGATAAAGTAATTACGTTGGAATTACTGTCATCTTACCAGTTAGTCATTCAGCACAGCAATGACGCGAATCCTTCCTCTAATCTGATTGGCTGATTGCAGGTCACGTCCTTCCTGTAATGTGATTGGCTAATTGTAGGTCATGTGACCCAAGTCATATTTTTAACACTAACCTTTCTCCTCAACATGTTCTTGGTGATCATTGGAGTGAGCAACAAATGTTTCTGTTTAACCCAGAAACAGCTGGAGAATTGTTTCAATTTTATATTTTTGGTTGAGTAAAAACAGGTGTTTTCTATTTATAGAGATATAGGTAAGTAATCCCTCTGGGGATCATTATAAATGATGAGCTTTTGAACATTTAGGTGCAAAAATTTGAATACTGTATGGTGAAAAAGGTCAATATTTGTTGTCAAGCACTTCAAAAAGTGAACTCATATATTACATAGATTCATTGCACAGAGTGAAATATTTTATTTATTTATTTCTTGGATTCTGGCTTAGAGACCATGAAAAACCAAAACTCCATCCATTATTTTTACCTGCTTCTTCCTTTTCAGGTCACAGGGGTCACTGTGCGAGAGGCGGGGACACCCTGGACAGGTCTCCAGTCCATCACAGGGACACGTAGAGATGGGACAACCAACCATTAACTCTCTCACTCACACCTAGGGACAATTTAGAGTTACCAATCAGCCTAACGTGCACGTTTTTGGTCTGTGGGAGGAAACCGGAGTACCCGGAGAAAACCCACGCATGCACGGAGAGAAAACTAAAATAATTAGAATATTGTGATAAAATTCCATATTGGAAACTTATGCAGACTATGCACAGATGAATCCTAGACACATTCCTCAAGTCAAGTCACTCCTGAACCAGAGACAACATCAGAAACATCTTATCTGGGTTGAGGACTTCAGAGAACAAAGTGGACCAACACCAGCAGAGGACATGGCCCCAAACCATCACTGACTGTGGAAACGTCACTCTGGACTTCAACAACATGGATTCTGGGTGGGCCTCTCCACTCTTCCTCAAGACTCTGGGACCTTGATCTCCAAATAACATAAAAATTTACTTTCATCTGAAAAGAGGACGTTGGACCACTGAGCAACAGTCCAGTTCTTTGTGTCCTCAGCAGGTAAGACACTTCTGACGTCGTCTCTGCAAGCGAGAATCATCAAAAGTTGAAGAAATAAAGGCTTGATATATTTCACTCTGTGTGATGAATCTATACAAGTTGCACTTTCTGAAGCGATTGACAAAAATATTGAACTTTTTCACGATATTCTAATTTGTGAGATGTACCTGTAGTTTTTTTTTTTATCATTATTTATGAAGTGACAGTTTGTGGACATGTTGTTGCCAGGCCACTCAATCATTAATGAATATGAACTGCTGCTGTACAAATAAATGATTTAAACGCCAAGAATCTTGTTTAATAATAACTCAGCTGATTTTCTTTTCCTTTTTTCTAATCACAACTTAGAATTTGCGTTTTTCTTACATTTAGAACAATATATCTCCTAAATACGAAGCTTTCAGCATTAAAAGCGAAAGAACGTATTCGTTACTTTAAATTAGGATTTTCTTGAGCAATTGATCTGCTAAACTTATACAAAGTTGATTTATGTTTAGGTTAACGTTATTTAACTACCCGTGAGAAAAAGCAACTTATGACCTATTTGCAAAAAAGTATAGTAAAATCAGTCATTTTCTTTTAGACGACTTGTGAGCGTTTGTTAAACCATGACTTATCTTTGCACTTTGCACTCCTTTTTTCTTGAGCAGTTTGACTTTAGGCTCAGCTTGGCTTAAAACATAATTATTGCCCCCCCACCAAAGGTTAAAGGGCATTAATGCTTTTAACCCTGTCTGTGTGAGTAATATTTCTTTGTCTGTATTATTGGTAAAATATCTCATGAATCACTGGATGATCTTTAATTAAACTTTCAGAGATTAATTGTTAAATTTAAAGGATCTGTGCATTTTGGTTGTTTCTGGTATTTATTGTGTGAACGTTTATGAAACATTCACACTATTGTGATCCATTTTTCTTACGTGCGTTTTTCAGCATCTTTCTTGTTCCACAATTTTTGTGCTATTTCAACAAATCATGAATCAAAACGTTCAGCTCTTTCAGGACAATCCTGCTATGACTTTTGGTATTGGTGCGACTTTAGCTTTTTGAAATATTTAGCCTTTTCTGACACTATTTTTCTCATAGAAAATGAATTGAGCTCATTTTACATCCTTCACATCTTTAGATCTGTTTACAACCTTTAACTGCTCCTTTCACATTTTGTTCTGCTTCAGCTTCTTTCAGCTTCCTTGTGCAAATTTAAACTTTTTTTCAGCTAATTTCAGCTGTTTTTCAGCTGTTTTGTGCTCCTTTCAGATTCTATCTGCTAACTGCGACATTTTTGCGCTTCTTCTAACATTTAAGCTTATTTCTGCAAGTTTCAGCCTTTTATTTCATCTATACTATTTAGCTGTTTAATGTTAACTTTACTTTTGTCTGCTAATTCCACATTTTTTGCACCACTTTTATTTTTTTCTGCCTAATTTAGAACAAATGTGTTCTCTCCACTTGCTTCTGGTAATTTAAGCTTCTTTCTGTTGTCTTTAGCTACTTTTCAGCTGTTTTATGTTAATTTCAGCTTTTTTCTGATAATTTCCACTTTTTTTGTGCTCATTTTTTCTTCTTTAAGCCTAATTTGACAAACATGTTCATTCTACTTTCTTCAGCTAAGTTAAGCTTGTTCTACCTTTTCAGCTATCTTTTTAGCATTTTCTAGCTAATTTCGGCTGTTTTTAGATAAATTCTAGTTGTGGTAATCTCTCCTAATTTCAACCTAATTAATTTCTTGCTGATTGGATGTAACTGGGACCCTGTGTACATAATTTCGCTCCACCACATGTACCACATGAGGTGCGAATGACAATAAAGAAACTCTGACTCTGACTCTGACTCTGACTCTGATAATATTAGCTCATTTTTGTTTTTTAGCTTAATTGTGCTAGTTTAAGCATTTTCTGCTATTTCAGCTACTATTTAGCAGTGTTTATGCTCATTTGAGCTTTTTCAGCTAATTCCACATTTTTTAGCTCATTTCAGCTTTTTCTGATTTCTTCTGATAGCTTAAGCTTCATTCTGCCATTCAACTACTTTTCAGCCATTTTTTGTACTAATTTAAGCTTTTTTAAGCTAATTTCCTATTTTTTGTGATAATTTCTGCTTAAACTATTTCAGCAAAAATGTGGTATTTCTGCTTTCTTCTTCTTCTGCTGCTAACTTAGGCTTGTCCTTCCATTTGAGCTACATTTTAGCATTTTTTTTAGCTAATTTCAGCTGTTTCTCAGCAAGTTCTTCTGCAACATGCATTCACAATGCATTTTCACAGGAAATTCAGTTTCTCCAGTTAGTTTTAGGTTGATTACTTTTGTTATTCTGTTTCTGCTCCTTCAGCTCCTGCCCCACCCACTCTCACCTGTCCTCAGTTGTCATTATCCAGGTGTTTCCACTCCACTCATCAGCCGCTGTCCATATAATCACTCGGTTTATTCTCTGTCTGTCCTGTTGTCCTCTGCCTCATCAAGCTGTCTGTGTAAGTTATTGCAGCAACATTAGCCTTTTTGTTCTCTTTTATTATATTCAGTTTAATTATATAGTCACATTTATTTTAAAACAGCAGTTGTTACCAAAGTGCTTCACAATAAATAAAAAAAACAACAGTAATTTATAGAAAAAAAGGTTAAAAGTCCTAATAGCACCAAGTCACAACAGTCGTCTCAGAGCACTGTACAAAAACATTCATATACATTAAAAAAGGCAATTAGTAAAAGTTCTCTAAGGAAGTCAGCAGATTGTTGAATCTTCACTTTATCACAGTCCTGAGCAAGCACAAAGGCAACAGTGGAAAGGAAAGACTCCCTTTTAACAAGAAGAAACCTCCAGCAGAACTGGACTCGGGACCTGCTGGGGTTTGAGAGGACATGAGGACAGGTCCAGGAGGAAAGACAAAAAACATGTTGAGATGGAAATGATTACAAACGGGTGGAGTGGAGCAAATAAGACGGTAGGAGAGTGAGGAAATGTGGTCAGTTATTCTTCCAGCAGTCCAAGCCTTTAGCAGCATAACTAGGGGGTAGCTCAGGAAACCAAAGCTGACCCTAACTATAGGATTTATCAAAAATGAAAGTCTTAAGCCCAGTCTTAAAACTGGACAATGTGTCGGCCTCATGGACAGTTTGTTCCACAAGCGAGGAGCCTGATGACTGAAAGATCTTCCTCCCATTCTGCTTTTGGAAACTCTAGGAATCACAATAAACCTGCAGTCTGACAGCCAAGTGTTAGGAAAGTATGGAACACTATCTGTATAAGATGGAGATAGGTTGTTGAGAGCTTTGTAGGTTAAGAGCTTTGCATGTCTTTATTAAAATCTTTTTTTTTTTTTTTTTTTGTAGTTTATTGTGTTTTGTCTGCATTTCTGGGTCCAAACTTTGATCTTCGATTGATCAAATTCAGAAGTCAACCCAACTCAAGATGGCTCCGATCTTACCGAACACAAAACATGGCACTAATTCTGGACTCAAAGTATGTGGTGGTGGTAGCTGAGAGTCATCACCAACTCAGTAAAGTTTTAATAAAACGACTACCAACTGTTGCTTTTCCTCATAAGATGGTTTATGACTTTGTTAGGAAAAAGCAGCGGACGGCGTGCGTTCCTTCGACTGTTCATTGTTTTCCAGGTGATCTGAACCTTCAACCGTAATCAATGTAATCATTTTATTGACAGTCGCCCCTCGGAGCCTCTGATTGGACAGAGCATGTGTAGTCAATAATGTTGGACATCTCCTCAAACATGGCACCTCCACCACGTCGCTTTTATTCATCTCTCCACGTGGTACAGGAGGAAAGGCAGGGGGTGTGTGACAGAGGGGCATTGTGCTGAGCTGCAATGGGGATCCTGTGGGTGTGTGGGGGGGGGGGGGGGGGGGGGGGGGGGGGATGCTCAGTCAACTGTGTCCAGCTCGCCTTTTGTCAATGATTCACATTTCATTCTCTTCCCCTTAAATAGAGCTCCAGTAGAAAAAGCTTTTTTCCTTGTGGGGGTGGGGGCTGTTCTTGGTGATATCCCATGAATTGCATGCATGCATTTGTAATGGCCCCCTCACTTGCACACATTGCTGCTGTTAATTGGCCCAATAACAGAATTCAAAGGAGAAATATTGTCTGTACAGTCCTCTGGCACAACAACAACATTGAGGGGGGGGGGGGGTACTTTTGCTAATTGAAGCCACCTGCCAGGCAATTTATATCTCCAAATCTGATTTGCTTCTTTGATTGGATGAGAACTGGACAGGTGTGTGTGTGTGTGAATCCCACCTGTTGAATTGGTTTGTTTGGGTTTCGAGTTTCAATTGAAGGATTTAAGCCATAATTGTTATTATTATTATTATTATAAAAGATAAATGCTTTCTTTCTTTCTTTTTTTTTTTTTTACAACAAGTCGAATCATGTCTAAAGTTTACTTATATTTGTTTTCTTTGGTGTCTTTGACAACACTGTTTAAGTTTATAGCTTCTGTGTGAGTTAAAAAAAAAAAAAAAAAAAAGCGACCAAGGGAGGTTGTGTGTCACACGCCATTGAAATGCAAATATCATAGAACAAGGAGTGGTGTGTGTGTGTGTGTGTGTGTGAGAGAGAGAGAGAGAGAGAGAGAGAGAGAGGAGGGGCACAAATTGGACAAGTTTTTTAGGGGGGGGGAGGTGTGTGTGTTGGGGGTGTGTGTGTAAGGGACTTTAGAAAACAGCCACACACACCACAGCTCCATATGACACGGTGCTGCTGCCAGGCGGATTTCCAAACACCACCTCTCCTTCTTTTTTTTTTTTTTTTTTTTTTTTTTTTTAAATGTGTGTGTGTCATTAACTTTGCGCTTCCAAACATTTCCTCTTTAAGACTTGAGAAATCGCAAGAACTGCGCCACTTTTCAAATGCTCGCAGAAACTCGATCAAGGGCGTAAATAAAAAAAATTAAAGAAAGGGGGAGAGAAACGTGCCTGGTGCCATTCAAGCGGCTGATGCCCCCCCACCCCCGCCCCCCTCTCTCTGTTTGACTGCAGTGAATCATGTCACGCCGGAAACAGAAGAGACCCCAGCAACTCGTCAGTGCAGATCCGGGGGGCCCAAAGCTGCTATACGGTGAGAAAACACCACTTTGTTCATCCTGTTTAGACATTTGTATGTATATTGTCTTGTTGCTGTTTGTGGCTTTCACATTGACAAAAAAGCCAAAGAGTTGTTGTAAACTAACTTTCATGTCCTGCGAACATTAATTTAGGAAGTCATCTGATTTGACATTTTCAGACTTAAACCTATTTGGGCCACTAAACGAACACTTGAGGTGCTTCAGGTTGGTTCCAGTCAACTTGTCCCTGAGTTAAATGGGGCAGGATTAACTAACATACGTCTCTGTGGGGCCATTTTCATGAGCTGCCCATCCTCTTAGGAAGCCAACAGGCTGCTTTAGGAGGTCTTTAATGACTCTTCTAATGGTGAACAATAAGGTGCATTGGGCAGGGGGGGAAGGGAAGTCAGTGGTTTTTGGTAAAGATTAATCTTCCACCCCACTATTGTTGTCTTCTCTTGGCTGTTCATCCATACTTCTCTTCCATATGCACCCCTCTTTTTACCCCATTTTTCACCTTCACAATACCTCCTCCCTCTCTTTCGTTCCCTCTTCATTGACTGTATACTCCTGCACAGTTGGGGGTTCGCATGGATGAGAGGGGGGAAATGAACTCACATCCTTGCCAAGTTATAATGGGGATATTCTTTAAGCTTCAGTGTGCACAAGCCTCTTCAGGTAAATCTCATAAACGTGGAAGATTTGGAGTTAGCTGTGTGCTTCTTGCAGACAGGTTTTGCTAATCTCGGGGAAGGAATTTCGACGAGGTACAGTCTTTCATTCCATCACTATACCTCTCCAGGAGGGGAGTAGTTAGTTTGTGTCTCCATTGTTGTTACCCTCCCCCTTCCTTTTTCTTTTTTACTTTTTCTCACTCCGTGCTCAAGATTTTGAAAGAATTTGACCTGTGGGCGGCAGAGGTCAGATTAGTTGACCAATCAGAGCGTGTGGACACTACCCAGGACCCTTGGCGTGGCCTGACCCTTGGCCTCCACTGTGACGTAAGGGGGGAAGGGTGAATGAGGAGATGAAAGACGTTACTGCTTTTAGGAGGGGGTGGGTTAAGAGGGGTTATGGGTTGTCCTGGTGATGTCCATTGTCCTCTAAAATGTGTTGCTATAGCAGCAAGGTGGTCTGTAAGCCTTTTTGTGTGTGTGTGAGTACAAGATGTTTAAAGAGTTTTGCTCCAGAGAGCACAGATTGAGACAAGACATGACAAAGACTAGTGGACTGGGAGTTTCTTCCACTTGTTTATTTGCTTGTTGGAGGTCATTTCCAGGCAGGCATTTCTTTTGAAGCTGTAATTGTATCTTCTGGTATGCGCACCAAGTCTGCAAACTAAATTTTGTAAACAATAACTGGAGTCAATAAGACACACACGCTTTGTTGCTGAAGCGGAAAGTTTTCACGACTAGATTTAGTTTCCTGGAAAATAAACACACTGGGTTCAGGTTTTATAGTGTTCTTTTTTTTTTTCCTGTCTATCCTCAGATGACCACCTGAGCTTAAAGTCGCCATCCACATCCCTGGGCTCCGACGTGACCTCATCAGCGTCCTCTTCCCCATCGCCCACGCCTCTCCAAGACTGCCAGCCGCCTCTGGCCCCTCGCCCATCCCCTGGAGGGCTCCACGCGCCCTCCTTGCCCAGCGAGAGCTCACCTCCTCCCCACTGGCCAAGCCATATTGTTCCCTTTGCCACATCCCTCCCCAACACCCACTCTTCCCTCTCCCCGGACTTCCCTCACCCATCACTGTCTTCACAGACTCATTCACCTCCTCCGCTGGATCAAACGTCTGGATCCAGTAACCTGCCTCATCAAGGAAGCTCCCACTCGACAATGACCTCTCCACCAATGGGCAGCTCTGCCACCGCCACTACCTCCACATCCTCCTCCTCCTCTTTCTCCTCGCAGCAGCCTCAACCAGACAGCTCCAGTCCCGGTCAGCAGCAGGCCTCCACCTCATCAGGGGAACAAGTACATATTCAGGTCCCTCCGACACTGGCGGTGCTCTTGGAGGAGCTGAGGGTTCTGCAGCAGCGGCAAATCCACCAGATGCAGATAACAGAAGAGATCTGCAGACACGTCCTCAGGCTCGGTGGAGCTGTCTTTGGCCAAGATACTAGTGTACATGCTGGTACAGAAGGCAACCAGAAGTCCACTGGAGCATCCTCTTCATCACCAACACATCCTTCCTCTGCCACTCCAATAACCACAGTACCATCACTTCTGACTGGACTACCATCTTCTCTCTTCCCCCAACCAGCAGTCTCTAAATCAGGCACTTCACTTATTAACGGGGGCAGAGCTTTATCATCTTCAACCCCTAACTCACTATTATTATCGTCTTCTCCAGCTATTTCATCTACTATCAGTTCATCTGTTGCTTCCATTCACCCGCTTTCCCTTTCACTGGGCCTGACACCACGTTACCTGCACGAGAAATCATCCAACACATCTCCCTTTGGTCATAGCAATGGCATCAGTTTCCCAACTCCTCCCCTTCCTACAACCAGCCATCCTCAGGACCTTCAGTCCAGTTCACCTCTCACTTCTTCCTCCTCATCAGGACGCCCCCAGCATGTCTGTCGATTCTGTGGGAAAGTCTTGAGCAGCGACTCCTCACTCCAGATTCATCTGAGGTCACACACCGGTGAGAGGCCCTACCAGTGTCCTGTGTGCTTGAGTCGTTTTACCACCAGAGGGAACCTGAAAGCCCATTTCCTGCGACACAGAGAGCAGAACCCAGAGCTATCCCTCTCCCTGCTGCCACCTGCACTGTCGGAGCAAGCGCAAAGTGTCTCAGCGCCGACGACCATACCGAGGAGGAGAAAACGACGAGCCGATGATGACGAGACGTATCACGGAGTGAAAGGAAGCGTTCCTGGGATGACAGAGAGCATGGCTTTGGGATTACTATCTGGTGCGTCGGCTCGTCCATCACCGTCCTCCCTACCCCTGCCCCCCTCAGTGGACATGGCTCTTCTGTCCACAGCTCATTCACTGTTACAGTTAAACCGAGCCTCCGCTGCAGCTGCTGCCAGCACATCTAGCTCTGTACTGCCTTCTTCATCTCCATCATCCTCTTCCTGTGGTCAGTTTAAAGGAGCAAAGCAGCAGCGATTTGATGAAAACACTCCTCCTCACTCTGCTCACCACACGACGTCTCCGTACTCCCAGCTGGCACATCTGCCCAAGATTCTCTTCCCTGGAGGAGCCTCCCCACACCACCTTGCACTTCTCCGGCCCCCAGGCCACCCATCCACCTCCCACCTCACTTTGCCTCATCAGCTACCCTTCCCCTTCCCTCCTTTCCCCAAACCATCCACCTCGTCTTCATCTTCTCCCACCACTTCTACACAGACCTCAGACACATCTAAGCTGCAGAGGTTGGTTCAGAAGCTAGAAAAGCAGCCACAAGGCAGTTCCTCCTCTTCTCCCTCCACCTCTTCACAAACCACTGCTGAGGTCAATGGGGATCCAAACATCCGTGACATGACCACCACATCCAGTGCTTATCGTAGGGAAATGTTGGCCGCTCTTGGACTGAGCCCCAGTATCAGTGCTGCAGTGACCAGTCAGGGCATCTTAGGCTCGTGTACAACAACTACCAGTTCTTCCCCGTCCATGCCCACCACCCAGACAGCCAATCAGTGCGGAGTGTGTTTACGCGTCCTTAGCTGCCCCAGAGCTCTTCGTTTGCACCAGGCCACACATCTAGGAGAGCGTCCCTTCCCTTGTAAGCTCTGTGGACGTTCTTTCTCCACAAAGGGCAGTCTTAGGGCCCACTTGGCCACTCATCGTTCAAGACCACCCAATGCTCGTGCTCTGAACTCTTGCCCCCTGTGCCCACGAAAGTTCACTAATGCTCTGGTTCTTCAGCACCACATTCGCCTGCACCTAGGAGGACAGATACCACCCGACGAGGAGATCCCACCTGAGGATGCTGCAGAAACCAAAAGTGCTACCTTTGATGAAGCTGATGAGTCCTTCAACTCTCAATATAAACCACCACAGGTCCTTCCTCTGGCCTTGACAACAGGATTTAAATCTCCAGCAGAGACTGTTAACTCTGGGTCCACCTTTAAGCAACCCATAACTAATGATGATGATGCAGCTTTTGTGAATGTGATTGAATCTGAAGGCTCTGCTCACAGTGTTAGTCCTTTCCTCAGATGTAATACACCCTCGGCAGAAGTCGAGAATCTCTTGAGTCTTGCAGACAACATCCCAGCCAATGAAAGTTCAATAAACAGCCCCGTGCACTCAGAGGAGGAAACTCAGACTGACCTGGGCGCTGTCAGTTTGTTCAAAGCACCCTTAGCCAGCTCTTATTCCGTTGTAAAGAATGTAGACTCAGAATCAGACGATGTCCCGCTTTCCCTCTGCATTTCAAAGCCTGGTGCTGATGACAGTCTGGCTAATAACGACGAGAGCTATTCCATAAACGAGCCCAAAACGAGTCCCTGTAAAAACCCAAACCCTGCAGCTGTAAGTCTTGTACCTGTGCTCAGCTCTCCTTCTAGCCCAAGAGGAGCTGTCCCAGAGGAGAAGGAGGTTTCTGGCAGTGGACCACAGGAGCTGCGGGGAAAAGATGCTGCCCAGAGTGAAGTGAAGAATGAGCCCGCAGTATCTGGAAAGTCTTTAGCTGTGTCTAATCCAGAGCCGGAGAAGGATGCTCAGATGGAGGGTCATAGCCGGACAGAAAAACCTTCTGATGACCCTGAGACTCCTCCTGTGGCACCACCGCCTCCTCCACCACAGCCCCCTCGCCCAGACAAACCCTACAGCTGCTCCCACTGTGGAAAGGCATACGCCAGCCGAAGTGGACTTAAGGTAGGAGTACTATACAGTAATGTGAATATATTTCAGTAGAAATGCTAATTTTGTTTAGGTGTTTGAAGAGTTGTATTGTGTCTTATCAACAGGGGCATATGAAAACTCACCCTGGAGTGCCGACAAACACCCCCCTCAAGGCTCAAACCAATGAAAATGATGAAAATCACAGCTCACACGCGACAAGAACGAACTCCGGACAGCAGGAAGAAAAGCAAGGAGCGAACCCTGACAAAGGTGATGGCACAGATCTCCCAATCCATGTTGACTCTGACGTGAAGCCGGAAACTACGGACACCACAGCGTAGAGTCTTTAAACGACTACAGTCAGTTTTTAATAGATCCTGACAAGGGAATGTATTTTTTTTTTTTAATAGGATGAGATTTTTTTTTGATTGTTCTGTAGAGTCTTTAATTCTAATTCATATTTAGATTCTGTTTAAGGCAGATAGATTATTTTGTAGTACTATTAAAGAAAAATGATGTATGTAGTATTTCTATCTATTTTTGTATTTCAAAGACCACAGTGAGGCCTTATCCTAAACGACTTCATAGCGTTGTCATAAGAATGAACTGTTTGTGCTTTTCTGTTGAGCACATCATGTATATTATCGAGCAACTAGTATACGCTGATTATTTCTAAGGAGTGTTCGTTGTTTCCATACCAAAACTAGCCATGTGTTGTTGGCTAATGATTGTGTATATATGCGCTGTGGTTACACTTGTTGCCTTTTTATTGGTAATATCTTCTTTTTTTTTTTCTTTATTGCGATGCTGCTGAATGCATGTTTGCTGATGTGCTGAGTCGAGTTGCACTGCTGCCCAAACATCTACTAAACAGAACCACATTGATAATGATCAGAACTACAATCATAGCGAAGAAACAAAAAACAAAGGATTATTATTATTATTATTATTATTTAGGACGCAATTAAAAATAACCTGATCTCTTCCAGGTTCTAATATGATTTGAATACTCAAGTGTCGAAAAACAAAGTTCTCCCCATGATTCAACGGTTTCAACCTCCTTTAGCTGCAACTTAAAGTAGCCATTTTCTGTTTGATTTTATCAGTCGCTCACGTGGTTGTGGAGGAAATTTGACCCACACTCTTTGACATTGCTTCAGTTCATTGAGCTTTGCAGGCATTTGTTTTTGCTCAGCTCTCTCAAGGTCTCAGGTTGATGTCTGGACCATTGCAACATTTTTTTTTCTCCCCCAGCCATTCTGTTGTAGATTTGTGTTTGAGATCAGTGACCCAGTTTAGTCCAGGTTTTAGATGTCAGAAACTTGTTCTCACGTCTGACTTTAGAATACTTTGGTCTACGGAGGAGTTTATGTTCAACTCCACGACTGCAAGGTGTTCAGGTCATTTGGCTGCAGGACAAGCCCAAAGCATCAGCCCTTCGTGAGGCGTTTGTGCTAATTGACTGTTTGGTTTTCATTTAACAGAGCTGTGCATTATGGGTCAACATCTGTGCTCTTTAAAGCAGTTGTTCCCAACCCTGGTCCTCGAGGAACACTGCCCTGCATGTTTTAGTTGTTTCCCTGCTACAACACACCTGATTCTGTGATTTAATTACTTCCTCAAGTTCTGCTGAAGCCTCTTAATCACCAGTTCATTCAAATCCGGTATCAAAGCAGAAAAACCACTAAAACCTGCAGGATGGTGTTCCTCAAGGACCATTGTTGGGAACCACTACTTTTAAAGGATGTCGCAGGGAAACCGTTAAAACATGCAGGATGGTGTTCCTCAAGGACCATTGTTGGGAACCACTACTTTTTTAAAGGATGTTGCAGGGAAACCATTGAAACATGTAGAATGGTGTTCCTCAAGGACCAGTGTTAGTAATCACTGCTTTAAAGAATGTTGCAGGGAAACCATTAAAACATGTAGAATGGTGTTCCTCAAGGACCAGTGTTGGGAACCACTGCTTTAAAGGATGTTGCTCCAGAAGTTTTATGTTTTGCAACTTTTCACCTTAAAATTTGTGGGAAAGTGTTTTTTAGTTTTTCTGGTTTTTTTTATTTTATATTTTTATTTTTTAAGTAATGACCTGGTGGAGTCTGTTGCGTTTTTGTACAATTGAGGTTAAATTGTTTTGATTGTTGGAACCTGGTTAAGATCAGATCATTTTTATGACTCTAAAAGTGAAAAAATGGCTGTTTTTATTTTTTTTATTTTTTTTTTTTCATGTCTGTAGATGACAACTTATGTGAGCGGACCTGCGCTCACATCTGTAAAACCTTCTAACCAGCACATAAACTTTGTATTCGTGTTGATGATTCTTAAATGTGCAGTGGCGCAGTGGTTGGCGCTGTCACCTTCACAGCAACAAGTTCGCAAGTTCTCCTCCCAGCAATTCTGTGAGGAGTTTGCATGTTCTCCCCATACAGGTACTCCAGTTTCCTCCCAGACCAAAAGCATGCACGTTAGGCTGATTGGTAACTTTAAATTATCCCTAGGTGTGAGAGACTGAATGGTTTGTCTCTGTGTGTCCTTGTGATGGACTTGCGACCTGTCCAGGGTGTCCCCCGCCTCTCGCACAGTGACTGCTGGAGATGGGCACCAGCTCCCCCGCATCCCAGAAAGGGTAAAAAAAGGCGGGTAAAGATGATGGATGGTTGGATCCTGAATGTGTCACCCTTCCACCTCACACTTTGCTGAGAGTGCTCCTACACGAATCGTATCACTGGATTCCTGCTCTGCTCAGTCTTAGTATTTGTGTGCTCTGCCTTCTCTTTGTAACCCCACCCCTCCATCTTTTTTTTGTTTTGTTTGTAGCGATGACAGAATGTGTTCCCACGCTTCCCATGTGATGTTAAATAATAAAACAATGGCAACGTGAAGAGGACACTGGTTTGTTTCTTGAAGCCCCACGTCTGTGAATTAATTGATCTGCTTAAGCATTCTGTTTGCATGACTTCTGCTGGTTAGTTTTCTCTTGTTTGGTCCAGTTCCCTGCGTCTGGATGCAGAAAGGGGGGGGGGGGGGGGGGGTCTTTGTCTGAGGAGCTGGACTGGCTGTCTCCTAACTCTGTCCTTTAAGCCCTCAATGTCTTTTAATATGTTTCAGTTCCCCACCACTGTGTGTGTGAAGCGGATAATCGGAGCTTGTGTGAGTGTTATTGAGGCTGCAGCTGTAGAGGCTGCCCCCCCTCTCCCCACACCCCTCCATCCACCCTTTCTCTTTCATTTGCCTTTCATTTTCTCTTTCATTTCCCTCCCTCTCTCTATTCAGACCATCACCCCCCCTCCATCCATCCCTTTACCTCATGTAATGAGCTGACACACAGGAAGCTCTAATCCTCACACAATGACACCCCCTCTCCCCCATGAAAAGTGACTGGAAACGGGACAGGGGGGGGGGGGCAACAGGGACCAACCTGGTCCAGCTGTCCCCAAAATGGCCGACTTTAATCCCCCCCTCCTCTTAAACTCCCTCCAGTTTTTTAGCCTACAGGGGCTCCAGAAACCATGGCGACTGGTAACTACGGTGAAAGAATGGCCTGGGGGGGCAGGGAGAGGGACAAAAGGAGTGAAAGGAGCCATGTGTGAGAAGTTTGTCCACATGACAAGACAAGAGATGCGTCTCAATCAAAAAAAAAGTGAGAAAAATCCCTTTAAAAGTTCTCAGAGGACAGAGATCAAAGGGCTGCAGGTGTGTGAAGGCTTTGATCACATCACATCAAACATTCTCTGCTCTTAAAGGAGTCTGTTTGAAGCTCATTTTATTAATGACTTCTAGAAAACAGCAGTTTATTAGTCTTTGATTAAAGCTGCTGTTCAGCAGTGAACCCTCGGTTCAGTCAGTCAGGGGGGGCAGCTTGTGTTCCTGTTTATCTAAAAAAGTTAAATCTGGTCCTCTGGACATTCAAAAAAACAAAACAAAAAGCAAATCAACAAAACAATGTAGAAACGTTTCGTCTCTCATCCGAGAGACTTCCTCAGTCTGAGGAGCTGTATTCAGCTCAGTCTCTTAAATAGCACCGTCTCAGGGTGGATCAACCAGTTTTGCTGCTGACAACCAAAACCAGCTGATCACATGCTCAAGAAGGACCATCAGCCTAACAATGGATCATTAGCACACTGATGGCTGTTTACTGTTCACAGAGGGCTGAGTGATACTAGCAATCACAGCATTGTAAGAGGGGGACAGTTGAACCTAACTGGGCCTTCCTGAAAGCAGAGAAGAAACCCAAACAGGACTCCAGTCAGCCAACAGGTGAAAAGGAGGAACCCAGACCCAGACCAGTGGTCATTCCATATGTTGAGGGGGTATCAGAGAAACTGAGACGTTTATTTTCTAAACATAACGTCCCAGTGGCTTTTAAACCCCAAAATACATTACGGCAAAGACTGGTTCATCCCAAAGATCCAGTCCCCCGGCACAAACAGAGCAATGTTGTGTATGCTGTTCAGTGTCAGGAGGGTGATCAGTCTTACATCGGGGAAACAAAACAGCCACTGGCCAAAAGGATGGCCCAGCACAGAAGATCAACATCATCAGGCCAGGACTCTGCGGTCTACACTCATCTCCAGGCCAGCGGTCACTCTTTCAGGGATGAAGATGTTCACATCCTGGACAGAGAGGAACGATGGTTTGAGAGAGGAGTAAAGGAGGCCATCTTTGTGAAAAGAAATCGTCCATCATTAAACAGGGGTGGAGGCCTCCGGGTTCAACTGTCCCCCTCTTACAATGCTGTGATTGCTAGTATCACTCAGCCCTCTGTGAACAGTAAACAGCCATCAGTGTGCTAATGATCCATTGTTAGGCTGATGGTCCTTCTTGAGCATGTGATCAGCTGGTTTTAGTTGTCAGCAGCAAACTGGTTGATCCACCCTGAGAAGGTGCTATTTAAGAGACTGAGCTGAATACAGCACCTCAGACTGAAGAAGTCTCTCGGATGAGAGACGAAACGTTTCTACATTTTTTTGTTGATTTGCTTTGTTTTGTTTTTTTGAATGTCCAGAGGACCAGATTTAACTTTTTTAGATTTTTCTACCTGGATTATTGAGCATGCATCAGGATGTTCCTGTTTATATTTATTATTATTTCGACCTTACTCCGTACGTTTGTCACCGTCCTCGTTCCACAGTTTTTGTGCTATTTCAACAATCGTCAATCAAAACGTTCAGCTCGTTCAAGAGAAGGGCGCTATGACTTTTGGTATTGGTGCAACTTTAGCTTTTTGAAAAATGTAGCCTTTTCTACTTTCCTCATAGAAAATGACTTGAGCTCATTTTACATCCTTCAAATCTTTAGATGTGTTTACAACCTTTTACTGCTCCTTTCACTTTTTGTTCTGCTTCAGCTTCTTTCAGCTTCCTTCTGCAAATTATTATTTTAAATCAGCAAACTTCAGCTGTTTTTTTTCTTTCAGTTTTGTGATCCTTTCCCTTTTATTCTGCTAACTACAGCATTTTTCTGCTTCTAACTTTC